AGATTTACAAAAGGACAAGAGCATATTCTAATAGTGTTGCTGACTGAGTCCTTAATTTTTTTTATGAGTGAGTTATTTTATTCATTCAGAGCTAGGATGCCACTGGAGTCTCATCTTGGTACCTGAAGCTGTGAGGGTTTAGTTTAGTGGAATGAAACAGAACCCTAAAACACTGAGGTTCTCTTTCAGCTCTAGTAATTACTATGAATGAAGAGACACCATTCCTGAAGTAGACCCACAATTTACAGGCCTTCCAGGACACACAACTCCCGTTGAGCCTCAAGTGATGGATATAGCCAAGGGGGTTGTTACCCAGCTTTGGCTGATTCATACGTTGTGACTTTCTCTGGCACAAGGGGACCTTATAACATTGGCTCGTGGTTTCTCTACCATCTATCTACACTACTATAATGTACTCTACATGGATGCATACATCCATTTTACATGCATTAATATAACAATTTTGTATTCAAATAAATTGTATTTTATCTCATTTTGCACATATTTATGTATGTAATTATATGTGGAAAAATGATAGCTGCTACTAATAGGTACAAAGATATATCACCTTTATATAAATTTTAATAAGATAATAACATATACTTTTATGTAATGCATTTATCTAATTCTTACATGGCTCCAGGCTTGTAGATATGGCAGGTAAATCCTTCCATGGACATCAACATGTTTTCCTACAGAAATTCCCATGTTAGGAGTAGGGTTTAGAAAACAAATGGGTGGAGCAAAAGGATAAGAATCTAAAATCCATATGCAAATTGGAATATTATAAATGTTACCTGTCAAAATACAAAATAAAAATCTTTGTTTAGCAAAGATTCCAGGTAGACTCTGCTTTTCATTTCAGATAGTGGAGAGACTGAATCCCCTACCCTTCATAACATGAATGGAAAATCACGCCCCTCCCTTTCCACCCCCCAAGTTAAAGCTTCTTAACTCCTGTTGATTTTCCAGGAAGAGAGTTAAAACGCTACTCTTCTGAAGAGACACTGCAGCATATGTTACATATGTGTTGTAGGTTTGTTATCCAGTGAGTATTTACTATTGGATTTGCATTGAATTGTTAACTTTTGATATTAAAAACTGACTGGCTGACATTATTATTATTATTATTATTATTATTATTATTATTATTATTATTATTATTATTATTATTATTATTATT